GAATTGGTCAATTTTGGGGTCCACGATGGGTGTTTTGCATGCATCATCTGGAATCGTGGGTTTCATAAACTTTGTGAAACACCATGTTACCCAATTCTCTCTCAAACACCTAGCACGAGTTATTGGACTCCTGGCAGCTTCCAGCAAGGCCATATTTCCAGGCCGGATGCATTACCGAGCTCTACAACGACTTCAAGCCTCTCATCACAGAGGCGGAGCATCTTACAGGGATATGGGAACGCTAAGCGAAGAAGTGAAAGATTAACTTCACTGGTGGCTCCTCCACATGATGGCATGTAATGGACGCGCTATCTTCAGAACAACCCCAGATCGGATCATAGAATCAGATGCGAGCTTACATGGCTGGGGTGCGTGTTGTGGAGATACCTGCATGGGAGGTAGATGGTCGGACCTCGAAACGACACTGCATTTCAACTGCTTAGAGCTTTTAGCCAGGTACTTTCCAGTACGCAGCCTATCTCCGACTCATTCGCAATGCACGATTCTATTGAAGATGGACAACGTATCTGCAGTCAGATGCATCAAACACCTGGGAGGCACGAAATCCAAAGTATTAGCAAACATGGAATGCAACTTCTGGCAATTCTGCCTTATGCACAATATATCGGTGACAGCGGAATATATTCCCGGACTTCCCAACACCACTGCGGACTGGTACTCCAGACACCTCAGGGACTTTGACATTCAAGAACATCACAGATACCTGGGGACCTCTGGGAGTAGACCTCTTTGCCTCCCAGTTTAACATTCAAATTCCTTGATTCTACAGTTGGAGACCAGGTCCCTCGGCTCTCGCAACGAATGCCTTCCTTCAGGATTGGGCCACGGAGACGAATTACGCATTCCCTCTGTTTGAAACGATTCCCCGTTGCCTTCTACATCTGCGGCGCCAAAGGGGCACGTTGGTCATTGTGACTCCCCTATCGCCGCTCCAATCATGGTTCCCTCACCTTCTGGAAATGTCGATAGACTTCCTCTGCCTTCTCCCATTGTACGATTCTCTTCTTCAGGACAATCTCACCCCTTAATTCTCCAAGGCCTTCTCAGGCTTATGGCGTGGCTGATTTCAGGGGTCCTTGGTCAATCAAAGGCGTTCCGCAATCAACTCTCAGACGTTTTGAGAATGCATGGAATGGTTGGTGCGTGGGAAGAAATCTGGATCCCTTATCGGCTCCTTTGACAGCCATCCTACAGTTTTTGACCTAACTTTTTAAAGCGGGAAAAGCCTACCGCATGGTTAACCTTTACCATTCAGCGCTTTCCACTGGACATCAAGACATCAATGGGATCCCCATTGGATGTCACCCCTTTGACTGCCGCTTACTACGTGGAGTACGATTTTCTCGTCCACCGCTCCCTCGTTACTCTACACTCTGGGATGTTTCCCTTGCCCTCCGCTTTCTAATGTCATGGCCGGACAACTCTTCATTATCACTCAAACAACTGTCAGCAAAATTAGTCATGCTCTTCTGCCTTATATCATGCAAAAGGGTCTCGGATGTATGAGCTTAGGATACAGGCGCTCGATCCTTTACACCAGAAGGCGTTTTCTTTGATATCTCCATAAGGACCAAAACGTATTCTAAGTCCGTACTGTACCCGGCTTTTCCACAGAAGCCTCTATTGTGTCCAGTGGCATGTTTACGGGAATACGAAATCTGTACAGCTCCGCTCCGCAATCCCATGAGACCGCAATTATTTACCTCTGTCCGCAAACCATATCTTCCAATATCATACCCCTCTCTGGCCAGATGGGTCAAATATATTATGACACTGGCAGGCATAGATACTTCCGTGTTCTCTCCACATTCTGTTAGTGGAGCCATGGCCTCAAAAGCCTCCGCGGTAGGATGTAGTTTGAAGGATATCTTAAGAGTTGCCGATTGGTCTTCTGAATTCATTTTCCGTGACTTCTACTTCAAACCGATCGAACACTTTGCTGGAAAGTTATATCACAGCTTTAAACCAGCATAATAGGAGCCTCCGTATCTTAATAAAATTACCAGATTTTACTATTTACATGATGTAAAGTCACTGGTGGCTCCTCCACATGATGGCATGTAATGGACGCGCTATCTTCAGAACAACCCCAGATCGGATCATAGAATCAGATGCGAGCTTACATGGCTGGGGTGCGTGTTGTGGAGATACCTGCATGGGAGGTAGATGGTCGGACCTCGAAACGACACTGCATTTCAATAGTGATTCTATTAACGACACAGAGGCGAGTATTATCCCTCCCACCTTCCCCTGGATGGTGTTCACCTGGGTAAGTAAGTTACGGTAAGTTTCTTTGGTTCAGATTTTCTCACTAGTAATGTGATGAGTTTGACTATGCACGTTTGTATTCACTTCGTATGGGTTGACTTAATATTAGTTACAGTGGATATTGCCTAATAAAGTATAACACGTTATTTATGCATACATCCAGTTTTATACTTGGATATTACCATATTCTACTCTCTCTTACAGCTTAAATTGAAAGTTCATCCATCGATGACTTCGTTCGTTATTTGGAATCCTTCTTTCGTTTGGATGGCGATACAAATTCGGGATCGCAGGAAAGAGGAAATTGTCAAGGGAATACTGCCTATTATGCTGGAGAGTGGAACCTGATTAGCTGATTGGTTGCCAGGGAAGATATGTGTTAATGACTGTTTCCTGTGTTCATATCATTGTTAAAGTTTTTTTCTTTGCTGCTGAGGGAAATAAAGAAAGAGTGCAGCATAATACTCGCCTCCGTGCCGTTAATAAAATCATGGCGTTACATCATGTAAATAGTAAAATCTGGCAATTGAGCAGTAAAACTTGAGAAGCATTATCTATATAGCAAAACTGCTTCATAAAGCTAAAGTTGTTTAGGTGACTGTAGTGTTTCTTTAAGCCACTAAAGTTATTGAACTATGGGTATTTACTAAACTCTGTACTGACATTAAAACCAAGCAGCAAAATTTAGGCAAAAATAGATGATCTTGAAAAATACTCCAACACTGCAATAGTTGTAGCTTAGTCAACACAGACTTGTTTTAATATTCATGAAAACTGTTCAAGTGCAGTGTCTCTTTAAGAGACCAAAAGTGAAAACAAGACCTTTTCTATCCAGATAAAAGAAAAGCGTGTGTGCTTAATAGTATTTGACACAGGTAGGAAAACTGGAAATTAAAAGAGTTAGTTATTCCCTCTGTGTTTATTTTAGTATCTCTACATTATCACTCTCTATGGCTACGTGCACATCATGGCTGAAACAACAGTACACGCTATGAATCATGTCAGATTAATTACACATTATTACACGGTGCTCTGAAAAGTCCAGTTCCAGAAATAATCCCACGAAATTGCACATTTTTTATTTTTTTTAATCTTTATTTTTGTTGTGCATGTTGTATACAGGCTACCTGCATTGCCACAACAGCTGATGCAGGTGTTTCATTATACATAGAACAGTGGTATGGCAAACATATTTCTGGCACATTTTTGTATCGTTAGTAGTGGAAAATAGTTGAGCTGTATTCCGTTTAAGAGTGCAATAAAACAGGATATCTCTAGCAAGTCTAAAAGTAGCCCACAGACTGGATTATGTGTACTGGAGGGTTTGTGCCATGAGGTTAACAGGTAAGGTGTATGAAAAAGCAGGAAAAGCAACTTTGTATGGCAAAACCAGTATAGCTTATCATAATCTACATTGTGGGTTACACCTGGTCTGAGGGTGTTACAGTAAAGATATATATAAAACAGTAGCTGATTAACTCAGCTGAACTAAGCCGACTACCCTTTTTAGGAGTGGCATCGGTAAGATCCGTTGTTGCCATGGGGCAGGCACGGCTGTGATCCTCTTGCGAACAACTAATGAGGGTATGAACATTTGTAAACATAAGAACAAGAGGCGAACACCCGCTCTAATATGTAACTTAATGCTGAAATCAGTGATTAGGGTGGGGGTGGTAGAGAGAGGGGTACGTAGACCCCAGAGCCAGTAAGTTTGGTTGTACATGTCTCTAAGGACGTTTATCAGACCACACATTATACAGATTTAAGTATCTAATCATTGAGAGAAAAAAAGGGTGTAATATATTAAACATTAACTTGGATAATAGCATTGGTATACACATTGCGTTTGGTTGTACATGTCTCTAAGGACGTTTATCAGACCACACATTATACAGATTTAAGTATCTAATCATTGAGAGAAAAAAAGGGTGTAATATATTAAACATTAACTTGGATAATAGCATTGGTATACACATTGCGTGGTAGTATAGAATGTTCAAGCTGTCCCGGTGGCAGCAGTGCTGTTTCTTTGGGTAGCCAGGACAAACGGGCGGATTGTGGCCAAGTCCAATGCCTGTGGCTTTGAATTAGGCGTTGGTGGCTGCGGCACCGTCTCAGCGGGGGGGGAGTCCGAGTTATTGGAGTATGTTGCCCATTTCAGAGATGTCGGTAACTTTAAGAGTCCCAATCCCATTAGGGATCAAAAGGCTTTGTGGTGCCATCTGTGGGGTTTCTTATGCTGTATCAGTACTGTGGTTAGTGGTTTTAGGGACCTCCGCCACGTCATGTTGGCCCGGGATATGTCAGGATAGAACAGCAGGGAATGTCCCTCAAATTGGTATGGGGAGGTGTTGCGGACCGCTGATAGGAAAGCCTGCCTGTCCGGGCCGTGCTGGAAACGCACGATTACATCCCTGTTGGATTGCTGGGAGTTCGTCTGCGGTTGTGGTAGCCTGTAGTACCCCTCCAACATCATGGTTTTGGCTTGTTTTGGAGCAAATAGGTTGGATAGCATTCGTCGAATGAGGTGGGGAATTTCTGCCATTGTAACGCTCTCAGCCAGGCCCCTTATCTTTACATTATTCCATCACCTGCGATCTTCCATAGATGCAACTTGGTGCTGGGTTTGGGTCCGGTCGTTTTTGGTCTTTCTCATCTCGGTCTCCAGCCTATTAATGCGGGCCTCATGTGCTGCTGTGCTGATTTCTGTGTCATGCAGTTTCACTGACACCCCGTGTGATTTCCTCTTTGAATGAGTTGATGTCTGCCGCGATATGTCGGCGTAGATCATCAAGGGCTTTCAGTCGATCTTCAGTGACTGGGGGGCTGCCCTGTGCCTTAGGCTTGCCTGCTCTTTGTGTCTCCGCCATCAGTTCCAGGTTTGAGAGTGCGTCTTCACTGGTTGTTCGGGAGGGTGCGTCGGAGAGCGGCGCCATGACAGGCCTGGAGGATGCTTGCGGCCTCCATAGAAGTTCGCCGATATCGGCGGTGGATGGGTGTTTTTCCACCCGGTATTTTTTGCTTCTTTGTCCCATTACCTTGGTAAGTCGGTGGGGTTGACGTGGTCTGTTTTTTTGGGCAATAACTGCTTATCTTTCCCCGGCTTGAACGGAGCTCCCAAGGGACATGTCTGTTCCGTGTGGCTGCTGGCTCCGCCCCCCCAATTGCAAATGTTTTAATTACAAATTCATTTATATAAACAATGGATGTTTGGCTGATCAAAAGTCATGAGAAACAATGAACAATTAGCATTCCAGAGCTGGAGGCAACATTTGGGGTGAAACAGGTCAAGAACGGTTTAACCCCCTCAGGTAAGAAAGCACCATGCAACATCCTGACACCATAGCAATGTTAGAGTGCATGTCCAAAACTGCTGCTAAAAATCATTCTGGCTGTTTCTCTTTTCTCTCCATGCTGCTGTTCTCACATAGAGGCTTCCCCAATTCCCTTTCAGTCATTTTCTGGCAATTCTGCTAGCACAATAGTTAAAATTGTATTCTCTATCATTTAAAACTAAGTTGTATTTGTCCAAAATACAGATTAAGGAACAGCACACACAAAAATACAGTTTAAAATTTTACATTGCTACTTAAAATCACCTATTTCAGCAAGCTAATATGGACATTCAATTCCACCATATGACCATTTTGTGTTAAGCCCACCAATACATCACAGTACTCTAAATATCAGTGGGTCGTACACTGATTTTACCATGGTAAACAAATTAAATAGTGCTTGTGCTAAATTAACTAAAGTGTATTTAATTTGTTGTAAGAGTACTGTGAATATATACCATGTAAAATTAATGTTACAAAAAACTATTAAAAAGAAAATATTAAATATTATTGTCTCAATCTGTATTTTTTATATACAGTTTGTATTTTACGGCAGCACCACTGCAGAAATGCATGTTCTGGGTGTGCCTTTTTTTTAAAGTTATATTTATTATGACAAATACCCTTTAATAATTATATAAACAACAAAAAAATGCTACATTATCCAATATCTACTAAATAGATATAACATGATCAGTTAGATGTTTAGCAAACAGCTCCCATATTTGGAATCCTTAAACATAGCAATCCCACATATGGATAGCAAATTAAGGAGTGAAATATCCCTGTACCAGCCCTGGGTGTCTTATCCCCTACAGGTATTTGTAACTTTGTGATGGCAATCCTTCATTTCTTTATTCACCATAGGGAATAATAGACATTCAAATTTAGAAATTAACAAAATGTTTTGGATAAATGTCATTTTGTGCAAACTAATATTTTAAAAATGTTGTTCAAACCAAAAAACGGAAAATGAAATAATCGTTACTAATTTTTTTCCATGCACATCCTCACTTGTAACACTGATGCAGCATATTGAATGATAACGTGAGACAGATTCCGTTGCTTTCAAACAATTGTAGCATCAGAAATGGTCACAGAAAGCAATTTGAGTTAGGCAACCTTCGGCACTCCAGATCTTGAGGATCCAATCCCAGTCTCCTTTGCTCTTACAGCCATAATGCTTGAAAAGCATAATTTTGGGAGATCTAGTAAACAACATCTAAAGTTTGTTTAACCCTCGTTTAACCTATGTATTTTGGTTTGTTCTGTATTATGTTTTTGCATTTGTATTATACATTTCTTGTGCTGTGACATTGCTATTAAAGAATCTTAAACATAAAAAAAGAAAGAAAGAAAGAAACCTACTTCTTTTTGGTCTTCCAGCCTGGAAAACAAGGAAACAGAATGAGAGCTCAGCCATGATACCTTAGAGATGCAATGAAACTAGGAACTTCAAGAGAGACATTTATTAAAAGGCATTTACTTTGCTTGACATTGCCTGTGTTTGGCACCTGACAAACTTTATTTAAAAGACTGAGTGCAGTAGGTTCCACTCAAAGTCTGCAACGTTCTGGGAGATGGAAATTACGCATTAACATAAGGGAAAAACAAGGCTATTCGTCTTAAAATTCAACAAGGATGAGGCGTACTCTGGAAGAAAGTAATATGGAACATTTACCTCCACAGTACTGCCATTTACAGGCACGGACATCTTATCCATGTTGCATGTGTTTCTGTGTATATGTTAGTTTTTGTTTGTTTTTTACATTTTATCTGTTCCTGTGCATAATTGCCTGGAATTCCCTGTGCTCCCATTATATGGGACCACATATTTATGCTATATACTATACAGAGTGGGATTGGATTTATATTAGTATAAATAAAAATAGCACAACCCATAGTCAGGGACATTAACAATCCAAGATTCAGAAATTTCACAATGCAGTTTCAGTGAAGATACTGACAAAATTTCTGGACCACTGGTGTGCCTTCAGGACTAGGTTAGGAACCACGAAAATATTTAAATACAAACTCCAGAATTGGCATCTTCTCTTACAAAATCAATGATATCTGAAGAAAAAAAATGTAAATGCTTGCTAACATTATATTATATCCATAGAATACATATGCTTACCCTACGGTACTAGAGTCCCCATCACATTTCTCAGATTCTAAATAAAAGAAAAAAATATGTATGAGGTCCAAGAGTCACATGTATATTTTAAACCCAACAGAAGCATGGCAATCGACATCTGTCAAAATCAATGGAAAACAAATTCTTGATTGTTAAAACAGTTCCTAGTTAGGTTTGTAAGAATTTACAGGTCAGAGTTTGTCTGTAAGAGTTTAGGTAGAAGGATGTTTTTGACACGTGCAAAGATTAAACTGCATTTTGCTAGCGTGCTTGCATGAATTAAAATTATATAAAGGTTTTGAAAAGATTTTGCAAGTTTTCAATGGCTGCTCCATGTTCAAGTTAACAAAACATTGTAGTTATTTCTGGAGGTAGCATGGGCAGTTAGGTTTTCGCATATTTGGAACAAAAGATGGGTTTTTGTACAGTGCTGTAAGAGATACCTACAAAATCTGACCCTGTTAGAATGTCTGTCAATGGTGTAAGTAGTTTTAATCTTGGATTATAGCTCCAAAATAAAAGGATATTATTCCACTGAGTAAATGGTACAGTTCAGTGGTACAGGTTTTCAGTTTATTGCATTCAAAAGGTTTTTTGTGGGGGCGGGGTCTGACCCCTGAGCAGGATAGACACGTGTCTGAAAAACCTCACCACAGTCCAGCTCCCGACTCCACAAGCAGACCAGCTACCGGATCCACAGGCTCGCTATGCATCACTATGTTGCTGTAATGTAAAGCACCTCTGGCAACATCTGCCGAGTAAGCTCCAAGACTGAGCAAGGGGAAACCTAACGCCCACCAGTGTCTCCTGCACACAGCAATCACGGAGAGCAATGCAAGTTCATTTTAATTGTCTCCTAGCTTATCCAACGCTATTTTGTTTGCCCTTATCTAGTTTAGTTTATGACCCTGTGGAAGCCTCCTGGGGACTTTTACTTAATTCTTGTTTACATCACTTTAGTGACCCAGCTAGTCTTTTACTACTCAAGTCTAAACAAATATATAGTCCATTTATAAGCAAAGTTTACTCTGCTCAGCCACCTATCTGACTTGTTTGTCTCATCATTTAAAATATAAAATGTGCAGGCTTGACATTTACCACTGCAGCCTTGTTGTATTACTGCTCAATTCATTTTGATCACATGTCTATACAAACCTGTATGTCAAATGCACACAAAAAAATAAACTTGGTATGCTTAGGGGTCACCTTGAGATAAATGATACATTTTCCATCAATTGACAGAGTTGGGAGTAATATGGACGCTGCTTTCATACCTGACTAATGTTAGAATAATGCTATCTAAGGATGTTATCTTGGGACACTTCGTGCAGGTAGCATATTTTATGTGGTTTGGTAAAAGATAACGATGAAAGCTTTTATAATTAAATAATTGTTGAGTTATTTTGTAGGTAAAAGGAGTTTTGGGAATGTTACATTTTCATTTTGAAGTATTTTTAGTTTTTAGCAGCCTTTCTTTGGATTACTTTGTTAAATTGAGAATGAGTTAGTTTTGTTTGGTAGATATAGAGTGTCAGAATTGAAGTTTTAGGATTATTATTTTCCCTATAATTTTCAAGTAGGTATTTGTTTGCAAAAAAAATAAATTACAGATGGGAAGAGTGAATGGATTGATTTGTATTGCATTAGTGAGGGCAGCTTTTTGTTTTGTTCAGTCGAAACTTTACAATCTTATTTTGCGATCACACCTGCTGTTACTGGCCCTTTTACTTGAAGATTGTCCATTAAAACTAAAGAAGCCCAATCTTGACCCTAACTCCCCATCCATCTATCGTCCTATCTCGCTACTGCCTTTTGCATCCAAGATCCTTGAAAAAATTGTGTATGCGAGATTGACAGACTTCCTTGAGTCCAACTCTCTGCTAGACCCACTTCAGTCTGGTTTCCGCGCTAAGCACTCTGTGGAAACGGCACTGAACAAAGTATCCAATGATCTACTCGCTGCAAAATCTCGTGGTCACTACTCTATCCTAATTCTCCTTGACCTGTCTGCGGCTTTTGACACTGTTGATCATCAACAGCTTCTTCTCATCCTCCGCAATAGCGGTCTACAAGATATTGCTCTCTCCTGGTGCTCCTCCTACCTCTCCCAGTGTTCTTTCAGTGTTTCTTTCTCTGGCTCTGCTTCTTCTCCCCAACTCCTCTCTGTCGGTGTCCCCCACGGTTCAGTCCTTGGTCCCCTATTGTTCTCCATCTATATTGCCTCCCTTGGTAAACTCATTAGCTCCTTTGGCTTCCAATATATTTCGATGAAGATGACACGCAAATCTACCTGTCCTCTCCTGATCTCTCCCTGTCCCTCTTGACTAGTGTCTCTGACTGCCTCTCTGCGGTTTCTAACTGGATGGCTGCCCACTTCCTTAAACTAAACTTGACCAAAACTGAAATTCTGGTCTTCCCTCAAATGTTGTTACTCCTGTGTCTGTCTCCCTCCAAGTCAACGGTG